TGCCCCTCATTCCCTCCTATCATACTGACATTCCAACGTGAAACATCCAAGCAGTTCATGTGTAGTTTCAGAAACAGAACACAACAACACAGAAAGAATGGCAGAACAAATACAAAGTTTAAGAAAAAGAGGTGTCATGAGTAAAAGAATGACTGAGAAAATAATAAGTATTAGAGAGAGAGAGAGAAGAAAAGAGGAGCTCAGACAGGGAGAGAGATGAAGGAAAAGAGAGAGAGAGAGAGAGAATTAGAAGATTGAGACAATCAGTTGTCTTGACAAATAGATCAATGGGATTGAGTAATCTCACCATCTCAAATGAAGTCCCACTCAAATCTATGAGTCTCCTTAGCAGAGTGGACACACGTGGGTTCACTGTGGTTCTCTTTCTGGTTGTAACTTTGCCTGTTTTCTTGGATACGACTCTGCCTCATCCAGTCTTGGTGCCTCTCTCAGGGTTTATTCCAATGAAACGCCTGAAAAATTATAGTGTTTATTCAATGTGTAAAAATCAAGTTGTTGACACCATGTTTCACACTTGCTTTTAATTAATTAATAAACTGATTAATTGTGTCCTGTGATGAGCACACAAGTATGCTACTTACTATGATCAGTAGGGCAGCAGTAAAGTCATCTACTGCATCTGCAATATCACAGAAATGTGTCAAAAATCAATCTAAATACAAATGAACAGTCCCTTGCACAACACAAGGTGGAGAAACAGTCACGGTTACAGCAAAAAAAATATTCTTCAGTACTTAATTTATGATCCAATAAATATCTTGAAAATAATATTGCCTTTATTTGAATCTGCACTGGGACACACAATAATTAGCATGCACTGTAGTCTTACATAATATTAGTCTGATTCAACTGTTGAAGTGACTTAAACGGTAAAATGTTTACACAAGACAATCATAAAGTTTCATCAATTCACTGGCAAAATCCAGGTGTCAACACACATTAACTTAGTAGAAATTAAAATATGCTCCTTGTGTTGTTTGATTAATTATCTTTGGAAATTTAGCTAGCTGGTAAATCCTTCTATAGCATGATGTGCACATGCAGTAATCATCAACGCACACAAAACAAATACAATCAAATAAAACAATGATATAAATATATAATATAAAACAATCAAATAAAATTGCTATACTCACCAAATAATTAGTTAGATGGGGATGGATCAAGAATGGCAGATACATAGCTTCATATTTGCAGCTCAGGTAATGCTCTTCCCAGAATGCCAAAAATACTGCATGATAGTGTTAGTTAAGATACTTTTATGGTAAAGTGCTGTATTTTAGGAATACATTACANAAAACAATGATATAAATATATAATATAAAACAATCAAATAAAATTGCTATACTCACCAAATAATTAGTTAGATGGGGATGGATCAAGAATGGCAGGTATCTAGCTTCACATGTGCAGCTCAGGCAATGCTCTTCCCAGAATGCCAAAAATACAGCATGATAGTGTTAGTTAAGATACTTTTATGGTAAAGTGCTGTATTTTAGGAATACATTACAGTTCTGTTAAAAAAAACTGAATGGACTGTAATTTAACAGATTTTCTTTAATATTAACAGTAAAGCACTGCATTTAAAAAAAACAGCCTTAATACTGTTGAAATCCTGCAGTAAATTTACAGCAATTCGTTACAGTGAACATGATAATATATCATAATAATGTGCACCCTTTCAAAGACAATAAACTTTTATTTCTCAGTGTTTTTTACCTTTTGCGATGTAGCGAACTTCACTTTCAATGAGCACACACCATTTTGCGCTGTTCCGTTTATATTTACTTTGTCGACCGAACACCTCAGTGAGTGTTGACTGTCGGAACKAAGGCTCTGCATCTCGAGGTGCACTTTGTTTCCCCAGCTGWGAAACTGGGTCGGGTGGTTATGCTTTAGATGGGCATGCAAGTTTGTTGTGCTGCCTTTTTTTGTTGCCACCACTTTTGAACTGGCTCGTCCGTGTTGATGGGCTCACCTTGCTCATTCGGTTTGGAGCCGAAATATTCCCACACCGGGGCTGTAGCGTTTGACTTTGCAATCATCTTTTTTCCTCGCGTTGCTCCGCACAACGCTCACTCACTGCACTCTCTGTGTTTGTAGCATGTGTAGCTAATGCTAGCGGCCCCGCCTCCCCCCACAGAGACAAAGAGACTGGATGACTGAAAAGAGGGTTCACTCCGTTCATTCCGCAACAAACGCCCCCAGGTGCTAAGACAGAGCACAGAGTGAACCCTCTTGCCATTCAGCCTGCTTGGAGGCGAGAGACGAGGAAAACCAACACGCATGTACATGACAATATATCCGCCGGAAAAATTATCGAGTTAATTTTAATTTATCGTGCGATTAAGTGATTTATTGATTATCGGCCCAGGCCTACACATGAGTACACATGCACACTTACACACACACATTAGACTGCAACTGTTACTGATGACTCTGTCCCAATGTACTGCAGGTACTGACGGTGTCGGAGGAAGAGTCGGCAGAGATCCTGGCTTCAGCTTTCAGTCAGACCACTACAGAAGTAAGTATGGAAAAGTAATTATTATTGCACCTTTGACAATGGATTTTGTACTTCTAGAAAGGACTTTGTAGATGTAGAAAATAGTCACACTTGTTCATGATGTCAGTGTCATGTATTAGGAGACAAGATTTTTTTGGTTATACCTCCGCAAATTTGTTATTAGAGGTTAACATATAACAAATTAAGAAACTCCTGCTGTCACATTGTTTGCTAGTCGCTACAGCAGATATGGTGCAAAAACATTCACACACCTGTGACAAAGACTGAATTCATGGACACAATTTACACATCCGCAAATCAATATGTCAATGAGAGTTCTACACAGGGTTGAATCAATTATTTTTTTCTCTTTCTTTTCCAGCAGAAGTTCTGCGTGCCTTCACTTTTTATCCAAAATTCTCAGTGAAAATGGAGCAAAACTGAGAACCACATTTAAAATTAATTAAAAAAAATATAAAAAAGCGTTTCTTTGAGTTTTGACAGTGGTTGGCAAACCAGCTTCTCCTGAAATTATCCAAACAGAGTTTCTCCTTCCAGCCCCCTGGTAAAATGTATGTAGAATGTCCAAGTAAGCTCATGTGAGAATACAGCAGTCACAAGAATTCACAGCGAGCAAGTGGCCATAACATCCCAACACATGACAGATGCAAGACTGGAAAATAAATCCAAAAAGAATATGCAAATGGAGAGCTGTTGGTGATATGCTGCAAATAAAAACAGGTGAGATACACACTCACCGGCCACTTTTTTTATGTACACCTGTTCAATTGCTTGTTAACACAAATAGCTAAGCAGCCAATCATATCGCAGCGACTCAATGCATTTAAGAATCTAGACGTGGTGAAGACGACTTGCTGAAGTTCAAACCGAGCATCAGAATGGGGAAGAAAGGGGATTTAAGTTACCTTGAACGTGGCATGGTTGTTGGTGCCAGACGGGCTGGTCTGAGTATTTCAAAATCTGCTGGGATTTTCACACACAACCATCTCTAGGGTTTACAGAGAATAGTCAGAAAAAGAGAAAATATCCAGTGAACGACAGCTGTGACGAAACTGCCTTGTTGATGTCAGAGGAGAATGGGCAGTGTGGTTCGAGATGATAGAAAGGCAACAGTAACTCAAATAACCACTCGTTACAACCAAGGTATGCAGAATACCATCTCTGAACACACAACACGTGAATCCTTGAAGCAGATGGGCTACAGCAGCAGAAGACCACACCGGGTGCCACTCCTGTCAGCTAACAGGAAACTGAGGCTACAATTCGCACAGGCTCACCAAAATTGGACAATAGAAGATTGGAAAAACGTTGCCTGGTCTGATGAGTCTCGATTTCAGCTGCGACATTCAGATAGTAGGGTCAGAATTTGGCATTAACAACATGAAAGCATGGATCCCTCCTGCCTTGTGTCAACGGTTCAGGCTGGTGGTAGTGGTGTAATGGTGTGGGGGATATTTCTTGGCACACTTTGGGCCCCTTAGTACCAATTGAGCATTGTTTAAATGCCATGGGCTATCTGAGTATTGTTGCTGACCATGTCCATCCCTTTATGACCACAGTGTACCCATTTTCTGATGGCTACTTCCAGCAGGATAATGCACCATGACACAAAGCTCATATCATGAATCTTGAACATCACAATGAGTTCCCTATAATCCAATGGCCTCCACAGTCACCAGATCTCAATCCAATAGAGCACCTTTGGGATGTGGGGGAATGGGAAATTCGCATCATGGATGTGCAGCCAACAAATCTGCAGCAACTGTGTGATGCTATCATGTCAATATGGACCAATTTTTTGTGATTTTGTGATATCTAGTGTTGAAGTTGCATGTTGCAGCTGAACACTCATCTCACCCTCCTCTTCCAAACATGAAAAATAACCTCTGGTAGCCTTTAGTTGTCAGAAAAACCCAAAAGGTGTTTAGTTTGTCCAGTCTGGACTAATGTAAAAAACATGGCGGCCTTCATAGAGAGTGTCCCCTCGATTTTAATATAAAGTATTTGAATATAAAGGGCCTTTTCTGGGGTAAAGAAAAATACGATTCATACGATTTAGATGAAAAAAACATGAGGATTATTCTACATTAAATTACTGCCAATAGTTCCCTTTCACCAAAATCTTACACACTGGACCTTTAAGGCAGTTCTGAAGGCAAAAGGTGGTCCAACCTAGTACTAGCAAGGTGTATCTAATAAAGTGGCCGGTGAGTGTATATTGAAAGCTTCCAACACTTAATTAGAGGAATTGCATACAGGGCTACAGACTGTGACCATTTAGTCACATTCTGCAACTTTTTGGGAGACTGTGACCCAAATTTTATAACTAGTAGCACCACGAGGACTGTGTGTGCACGCTGGGAGCGAGGACACACAAACCCAACTCAGAAAATGTTGGAACAGTATGGAAAATGCAAATAAAAAGACAGCAGTGATTTCTAAATTTAATTTGACCTGTATTTCATTGCAGAGACAGTATGAATACGTAGTTACATCCACAAATGCCAGTTAAAACTTGACTGTGCTATAGGAACCCTTATGTTAACCGTGTCCAGAAGCACCGTTGACTTCTCTGGACACAAAGGCTTCTGGGATGAACCATAACACAGTGGAAACGTGTATTGTGGTCAGAGAAGTCAGTCTTTCTCTTATTTTCTGAAAGAAATGGATGCCATGTGCTCCGTACCAAAAATGAAAAGTATCATCCAGACCGCCCAACTATGCATATTTCAACAAGACAATGCAAAACCACATCCTGCAGACATTACAAAGGCATGGCTGCGGAAGAAGAAGGTGGAGGTGCTGGACTGGCCTATGTGCAGCCCGACGTGTCCCCAATAGAGAACGTGTGGCACATTTTGAAACAGAGACCCCGTGCTGTTGCACACCTTAAAACTTATTTGCAGGAAGAATGGGACAAAATGACACCTGAAACGCTTCATCACTTGGCGTCTTGAGTCCCTTGATGTCTTTTAAGTGTTGTGAAAAGGAATGGCAACATTACAAAGTGTTCAATGCTTTACTGTCCCAATTTGTTTTGAAATATGTTGCAAATTCTTGATGTCAACATCAAATATTGTAATACAGATCAAAGGTAATTTACAAATCACTGTTGACACTTTTAATTTGTATGCAACATACCGTCCCAACTTTTTCTGATTTGGGGTTGTAAATCATAACCATCCCATCCTGTTTACTGAGCTGGTACAGAGCTAGAGAATCCATTTTATTTTTTGTTTCAGTTGTGTGTGGTTTATTTTAATGATGGTGTATTTATTTAGGATATTCTAATACATTTCATTCTAATACAAATGTCAGAATGAATATTGTTAAGAATTGAAAAGTTCATTGCTCTTTGAAATGCTGTACTTGCAGGATTATGCATAATATTGTTTTTCAGTGGTATGAAATTGTTTCAAAATGATGACGAAACTGTCATTTATTACAATCATTTCTGGGACATCGGATATTGTCCAACACAGGCCTTCCTTAATATTTTTAACAATGCATCAAGTTCGAGGTTACCCTGCACAGTTTACAGCTTTAGTTCTCTGAGAATATATTTCATTCCAATCAAGATTGGTGTTGTAGACTGAAATATGCCTAACTGAATTGATATTGAATCAAATTAGAAATCAAAATGAATTGAGACCTTGTGAATCGTAATCAAATCGATTTGGGAAATATGTCGATACCCAGCCCTAATCAGCATTACTTAAAGTAAATGTGTAGAATAGCCAATTTCAGAATAATTGATGACAGGATTCTCAGCACAGAAGAGGATTAAATCTGATGTCAGAGGGTCCAGCATGTGGACACAGTGGAGGACCTCATTAGAATAAGTCTTGAGGGGACTAGCTTGGAGGAGGTTGATGACAAGGAGACTGTACAGAGGAGGTTCAGTCAGGGCAAAGAGCTAGAAGGTCCAACCACAAGGGGGGTGCCAGGCCCGAGTGGTCCTCAGGGGGATGTGCTCTAAAGGGAGGGGAAGGAGAGGCTTTCTGTGAGAGGAAGTTACTGTTTATCCGTTTTGTTGTGGTTGTTATTTTGTAGACTTTCTATTTATTACCAAAACATTTATCAGTTAAGAGGGGAAAACATGTTAATGTGTTGAGTTGGTGGTATGCCTAATTTTTTCCTGGTGCCCATAAAAGTTTCAGTATGGAGCACCAATGAAACAAGTCATCTGATTACAGCACCAAAATGATTAAAAACAAGGTACAGAAGTTTCTAACCTCCTATGAGGGCCCCTGCTGGATGACTTGGTCTACAGGATTGAAGAGAGCCCAGGGCCAAGGCCAAAGTAGTCCATCAAGCCCTATTTCTCCAGGACCCCACTGGACAACAGATGTTTTTTCAACAAAACTGACCTGGGCACCTATAGAGGAAAAATGGACACCCCATCAGACACAGAGGATCTAACTGTGGGGCCCCAATTCTTCGTCACCTCCACCGGACAGCAGTCTGCTCCATGACAGACTCCCTCGGTCATAGCTGGATAAGGCTGGGATTCAGCATCCATTTAGGGGAGCAGCAGGTGGCCCCCCTCTGAACTCTACACCTCTCCAGAGGCCCCAGCAGAGCACCGGACAGGTTTGGTGACTGGGTTAGTTACTGAACTTTGCAGAGTTCTAACCTGAGTCAGGGTGTATATAATATAATATCTATAATATATAATATATATTATATGTATATATATATTTTAGACCAAAACATGTGCACCAAGTTGGCTGGGACTGGCAACATCTATTACAAGCATCTCTGACATTGGGGTAAACTGACAGTCTGTGGTTAGTGTTATAAATTCTGTGTATGAGTTTGCATTAAATCAGCCCAATGGTGGGCACAGAGAGGAGTTGTGGACTAGCTCAAGAATCTTGTCCCATTGGCCATCTTCTATGTTGAATAAAAGATCTTGTTCTCATGCTTTAGAGTTTTAGAGGGAAAGACTGGAAAAATAGTCTATGGCACTGCAAATATGGGAAATATTGCCTCTCTGTTTGGGATCCACTGTAAAATGAATGTAATTTAACATTTTTGGAGGGAGATTCAGAAAATGGGGATACTGATTCTGAACAAAATGTCTAATTTGAAAAAAACAAAGAAGTGGGATGTTGGTAGCTGAAATTTAGTGCCAACGTTTAAAAGTGGAGTCAATTGTAGAAGGCTTGAAATTGTGGTAATACAGGGGCTGAAGTAGAGGGGCCTTGCAGGCCAACTAGATTTTGAAAGACTGAGTGACTATTGGACTAGTGCTGACATCAGTGGCAGACGACGGGAGGTGAGAGCATAGCCGTGACTCTAGTGAGATCTGAGTGGAGGAATGCTCCATTTGGACCCAGGCAGGCTGTAAAATCGTAAAATCGTCCATCCAGTATAAGAGTTTTTGAATATTAGCTGCCAATAATACTGCAGAAAATTGGGGAGGGCAAGGCCCCCCCAGACGTTAAAGGAGAAGTTTTTTTTTCAACCTAGTCCTTATTTCCAGCATATGGTATGCAGATCTACTCACCCATAAAGGTTTGGAGTAACTTGGAGTACCTCGGACGCTTTTAGATCCACACACGATCGACGAATATCCATACAACGCAAGTGATTGGGGCATCCACAATACAGCCTCTAAATAACGCATTATCTGCCGCGAAACTCTTTATTTACCATGAATCGCCAGCACTAATCCCCTGTGAGTCCAAGTTGTTTTGTTTACATCCTGGGCTTTCACTGGGGTGACGTCACCGAGGCGCACAGCCGCAGCACAGCTGACAATCAGGTGTGTTTGTTTGCACAGAGTTTGCTGCTGCTAGTTTTGCGCAACATGGAGGGATCAAAAGGGAGGAAGAATAGGGCTTGGGCTTACCACAGCGGCCGGGAAGCAAAAAGGAGAGGGGACCACAAACCAACCACCCGTGACACTGCAAACCAACTCAAAAAGGGAATCATGAAGAAAAAAACATGCCATGTGTGCATAAAATTTAATAGTCAAAAGAAACAACAATGGTCACTTATTAAAAAACATTCATCCACACACATGCATACACTCAGGACCAATGATAGAAAATAAAATAAAGAAAGAAAAACAAGTAATCCACAAATAAACTACAAAACAACAGAAATACAAAACAAAATAAATCCTACAATTTATGAAAATGAAATATTACCAACAGCTAACTGTAGGTCACTTGCACAATCAATCAAATTGTAGTTGTATAGCCCATGTAGAAGCCAAATATTGGTTACATTGTAATTTTGTGGTATGGTCATTGGGTGGCGGCACTGTGGTTCACAGAGCTCAGGTATAAGGGTAGGTGACTGTGTTGTCGTTTGGTGTTTTGATCTGGAAGGGCAAAACGATTTTTGAATGCTGTGACTCTAAAACGTGTTTCTATGCTGTTTGCTGTCAGAAATTTTGGTGGAAGAGGACTTTAAGTACGAAGCAAATCAGAGGACAAATGAAGGACTGCTGAGTGAGCATGCGCACATCATACAGTTACGCGTATCAAACTAGTGAACATCGGTTGAATATCGGGCTGCAGCTACTGATTATTTCATCAATAGAATATTCTACCGATTATTTCATTGATTAAACTCATAATCTGATAAGAAATACATTTGCCCTATTAAAGAGTAAAACTATATGTACAAAAGAACAAAACAATAAAGACAAGACTCTTGAAATGAAGATGTAATTGGTTTCCTTTTAAAAAGTTTAGTGCGTAAATTGCCAATACAATATTATTCTTTCAAACATAAACCATTTCCTGCCTTTAAGGTGCCATATTACATTCTGGGTTTCTAAAGTAAACTTTTTGTGAAATACAAAAGCAAATTACAAAAAAATTATGCTACATTGAACTATATTTAAAGGTCCAGTGTGTAAGATTTAGGTGATAGGGAATTATTCGCAGAAATGTAATGTAGAGTTATTCTCATGATGTTTTCACTAATTAATTTCATCTAAATTGTATGATTTATTGTTTTCTTTACCCTTGAAAAGGCCCTTTATATTTAAATGCTTAAAAATTATTTACATCGAGGGGACCCTCTCTACGGAGGCTGCCATGTTTTTTTTTCATTAGTCCAGACTGAACAAACTAAACACCTTTTCAGTTTTTATGAAAGCTGAAGCTACCACAGGTTCTTTTTCATGATTGGAAGGAGAGGGCGAGGAGAGGGGTATTCAGCCGCAACATGCAATTTCAACACTAGATATAACAAAATTCTACACACTGTAATATATAAACATTGTTTTTAGTATGTGTAACTTAACTTTCAGTACTACAAGTTTCAGCTCACTACAGTTTAGGTATAACATCTACTTTAGTGTCTTCTGGCATTGTAGCATTTGAAGGAGGACATCTCTAGGATGAGGTATACATGGTGTGTGTACTGTTCTCCCTCAGCCTGCTCCCTGTGGGCCTATATTGGGATCAACAGTCAGCTAAA